CATCTCCTCCTCCTCCTCCACCTCCACCTCCTCCTCCTCCATATCCTTCTCCTCCTCCATATCCTCCTCCTCCTCCTCCTCCTCCTCCATCTCCTCCTCCTCCTCCTCCTCCTCCTCCTCTTCCTTCTCCTCCTCCTCCTCTTTCTCTTCCTTCTCCTCCTTCTCCTCTTCCTCCTCCTGCTCCTCCTCTTCCTCCTCCTCCAATTCCTCCAATTCCTCCAATTCCTTCAATTCCTCCTCCTCTTCCTCCTCCTCCTCCTCCTCCTCCTCCTAAGGCGGGGGCGGAGGAGGAGGAGGAGGAAGAGGAGGAAGAGGAGGGGCGGAGGGGGAAGGGGCGGGGGCGGAGGAGGAGAAGGGGGAAGTGGAGGAGGAGGAGGAGGAGAAGGAGGAGGAGGAGGAGGAGGAGAAGGAGAAGGAGGAGGGGAGGAGGAGGAGGAGGAGGAGGAGGAGGAGGAGGAGGAACTTAGGAAATTAGTTGGCTTACGCAGTAGCGTATCGCATCCAGCGAGAGGGGGGCGTACCCCCCGACTTGTCACCAGGCAACCTCCGAAGAGGTGCGCGGGCCGGAGACGGTCCCCGACCCCGCTTGCTAGAGTTGCGGCACCAGTCACAGCCACTTCTAGGCAGTCGGGAACCGTCCCTGGCGAGGGCTTTCGGGAGGTACCACCCCCTTCTGAGCAGCCCCACGCGCGCGGATCAGCTCCTCCCGAGCCTCCTCGTCGCTCGGCGCCGCCAGCGCCAGCTTTGCCACCAAGCCCATGAGACGGTCGAATTTCTTCAGCGCCTCCGCATCGACGCACGCGCCCAGCAGGCCCGCTACGAAGGCCGACTTGAGGCTCTCCACCATCGCCTTGTCAACATCCTCGTCGTCGGCGCCCTCTGAATGGCTTATCGGGCTGCTCTCATCCAGCGCCGCCGCTTTCTTTTCGCTAGTATTGTCCTTCTTCGCCTTCTTCTTGCCCACCACGGCGAGCTGCTGCCCAGGCTGAGCCCCCGCCGCATCCATGTAGTCTTCCCCGTCGTGGAGGTCCGTCCAGCACTTGCGCACCGAATCCGTGATGCTCACATCGCGCTGGGGCCCCTCGCGCGCTTCTTTCATTTTCTCCCGGCCATAAGGACCCTTACGGCCGGGAAAGGATACGTGCTGCACCTCCACCTCATGCAGACGCACGCAATGTTCCAGACACCTTGTGCCCGGTAGGGCCTCCAATACCGCATCCACGGCCTTTTCGCTGTACTTCTCCACCGCTTGAGCTGCACCACCGCTGCAAGGTACCCCATCTTGTTGTCCAAGAGCTTCCGCCTTGCTCCCAGCCAGCCCGAGGGAGGACCCACGTGCTCCTTCAACTCCATGTCGTGCTTGGTCAGCTTCTCCTCGATGGTCGTCTTGTCCTTCACGTTGTGCGGCGCCACCGCTGGTTGCACCCAAGGTTTGCGGATCCAGTCCATAATCTCGCCCTCGCCGAAATGCGTTGGTGTCACTTGCGGCCACGGTCCCGAAAACAGTAGTGTCGCCGACACCGCCGATGCCTTTGAATTCCCCGTCCTTGGCGTCCGCTTCGCATCTGGCGTTGTGTTCGCCGTCGTCGATGGCGTTCCCGATGTAGTAGTGTTGACCTCGACCCAGACCTCGCGCCCCAACCGCAGGATTGGGACCTCTAAGGCGGCGTTGAAGAAGCCTCAGTCCAGACCACAGAGTCGATCCTCTTGCCACTGACCTTCTCCAGCGCCTGCGCGAAGTGCCCCGCGGACTTTCCCAGGACGTCGCCGATGTCCTGCTTCTTGGCCCGCACTTCGAGCTTCATGCCATCGCAGGCTCGGGGCGGCTTCGCCCATGTCAAGTGCGCCGCCCTCAAGGGCCCGACAAGGGCGAGGAGGAGGAGGAGGAGGAGGAGGGGGAGGGGAGAAAAAAGAGGAGGAGGTGGGAGGAGAGGGGAGGGGGGAGGAGAGGGGCGGAGGACGAGGAAGAGGAAGAATATGGGAGAAGGATGAGGGGATGTAGCGGAGGACGAGGAGGAGGGGAGAGGAAGGAGGAGAAGGGAGGAGTGAGGGGGCGGAGAAGGAGGGGACAGAGGAGGGGTACGGAGGAAGTAGGGGGGCGAGGAGAAGGGGCGAGGGAGGGGGCGAAGGGGGATGAGGAGAGGAGGAGGAGGAGGAGGAGGAGGAGAAGGAGGAGGAGGGGGGGGGAACGGGAGTAAGGAGGGTGACGGAAGAGGGTAACGAGGAGGAGGGGGGCGGGGGCGGGGGAGGTGGAGGGAGGAAGTGTGTGCGTAGGATGAGGGTTCGGGGGATAAGGGGAGGAGAAGGAGGCGGAGGAGGAGGAGGAGGAGGAGGAGGAGGAGGAGGAGGAGGAGGAGGAGGTGGACGAGGAGAAACCCCATGGGGCCCCACCGCCCCCGCCGCAGCCCCCGGGCTGAAGGGGTGCCCGATCGTCCCGACGGAGACGACGTCCGCTCCGGCCGGCGCGCCGAGGCCGGGCGGGGGCGGCACCGCGGCGAGGCCGGCGTTGGCCTCTCTCGCGGGGGGTCACCACGGCGGCGGCGGCGGCGGCGGGGACGACGACGACGACGACGCAGACGACGACGACGACGACGACGACGACGACGACGACGACGACAACGACAACGACAACGACAACGACAACGACAACGACAACGACAACGACAACGACAACGACAACGACAACGACAACGACAACGACAACGACAACAACAACAACAACACAACAACAACAACAACAAACACAACAACAACAACACAATCACTTTACCCGAACGCTCATGTTTCTCACCAGTGCCAGGGGTCTCATGCGAACGCCCAGCCCAATACCCCCACTTTGTGGGGGGCATGCAAATAAAAAATCAAAAGCTCTACCAATATCCACACGACTCTTCGCCACCACCCACACCCAGCTTCCCGCCCTATGACGTTCGGACACTTCACTTCGTGGCCTGCGGACGACCGTGGCTACTACACTTGCGTGGAGTACACACCCACAGAAGTTGTTAAGCCTACGTTCGTACACCCACAGAAGTTGTTAAGCCTTGTTAACCCACAGAAGTTGTTAAGCCTTCCACAAAACATCTGTTT